TTGTTGAAATCAATGATAGTTAAAAACCAAATATCAAATTTTGAAAAAAAAATATAAAATATAAAATTTTAGGGCCAGTTAAACAATAAATATTGCACATACTAAAAAAAATAAACTCATTAATAAATTATTGATAATCATAAAATTTATAAATAAAAATTTTATTTTCACATTAACGTAAAATCAACATTTTGCGTTAAAAAAAATTATGATTATAAGGACAAAATTAATGCTCGCTTATATTGTAAATTTATATACCTTGAATTGATTATGATGTTCTTAATTACATTGTTATAATTCGTAAGGATATTAATATTAATGGCATCATAAATTTTATGATAATATAAGTGTATAGTGAATATACAAAAAAAAAATTTCAAATAGCTATTTTTATTACATTTAACAGCTACGTACTCTTAACTATTAATGTTACCTCACAAGTATGTGAAATAAAATTCGACTGGAACTCGGAAATGTACTTTTTAATTATAAAAATTATATTCAATTTTTTATTAAAAATTTAATTAACTCTTAAGTTTATTAAAAATTTTTATGAGCTTAAGAATTATTAAATTCTTTTATATTTTGTAAGAGTATATTAGGAATCAAAAATATTCAAAATAGATTCAATAAACTTTCCCAGCCTATATTAATAGTCTATATTTTTAAGTCTACATTTAATAACAAAATTAAATAGAGTAACATGTCTGAAATCACTATATTAAACCTTGTTGCACACACTTGAAAGCCTTCCTAAAATTATAACAGTTTATCAAAAATAAAATATCTTAAAACATTTTCCATACATATTTCATTTCTCAAAATACTAAAAATATTGATTCTCATTTAAAATTTCTTAAAACACGCGGAACGTGTACCTTATAAATAAATTATTTTTATTGAAAATACCATGATATTATTTCATTATTAAAAAACGATTGAGTTTATTCACATACATTCGTCTGAAACTCTATGGAACATATGGCACAAATAATAAATTTAAAATATGAATCTTAATAAGGAATTTATAAAAATTTCGCATTCATATTATGGTGTAAAAGCATGAATCACATATATAGATTAAACTTATTGTGAAATATTCCATATATTTTAATTATAAAACACTATTGAAATAAGATTATATTTGAAAATGTCATCATAGGTTTCGGCAAGGGAAAGCGCTGCTTTTTATAACAAATTTTAATCAAGAAGGAGGCAAAAAATATCAACACAATTACTCTTCAATATATGTCTTAACATACACAATTTGATCTTCGAAAAATTTAAGTACATGTTTCAGCCAACAAAAAAAAAAAACACTATAACCAGTTTTTCTATACTAGAAACAGGGCTATTTTAAAAAGATTACTGGTTCTAGTGCATAAGCTAAAAAAATGAAAAAGAAATAAAACAGAAACTTGAATTTTTATTTCAAATATTCTTCATTTTTTTTGTTTAAATCAAAAAATCAATAATTGAATTTTAAAGTGATCATCCTATAAATATGCAATTTTTTAATAATTTCATAAATTTCAAAAATCATTAAAAATATTACAATTTTAGTATTCTAATATCATTCAAATTATATTATTTGAGCATTCTAAATTGATTTTAATTATTTTTAGTTAATTATTATCGAAAAAAAATTAATTTACAAATGTTAATTTCTCACATTTTTCATATTTTCAGCTTCTTCTTTTCTCTTATCCTACGAGTATATACTCAAATAAGTTAAATTAAAAATCGAAAAAACATGAAAAAAAAGGACAAGACAATAAGAAAATTAAATAGAAAAAAAATCCTGTCTATCCTAAAATAATAAATTTCTTTCGTTCCTTTCTTTTCGTTCATTTAAAATCTATAAACGTATAGAATGTACCAAAAAAAAAATAAAAATTAATTAATCTTCCTCCAAAATATTTTTTTTTTTTTCATTTATTTTTAGATTTCATTTTTATTCTATTTGATGTTCTTTATGAGAATGCCCTATGAAAAAATATCCCGATTGAAACTGTTATCGAAAAATAATTTTTTTTTTTTTTTTGTTGCGTATAGAATACACACATCATTTACAGTGTTAACAAAGGCACATATACACACATACAAAAATACATAAATAAAAATTTGTTAAATTAAAGAAAAAATTTGTTGCTCTTATTTTACTTATACCCGACACAAAAAGAAAAAGAATTATAAAAACTCAAAAAATATAGAAGAAAAATAAAACAAGAAAAAATAAAACCTGTGGAATTCACAATATCACAGGATATACAATAACAAAATCAAATCAAAATAAAATATTTTTCAATTTTTTCCCTCGCAACCTTTCATTCAACATATACATTCGCATATATTAAATGTACACGCCACATTATAAGAGATAACGCACTATTTGCTCCATTATTGAGTTTTCTCTACAAAAATTTCGAGTATATACTCATGTATATATATATATATATATATATATATATATATATATATATATATGGATATACAAATACATTTATACAAAAAAATTATCAAATACATATAAATAATGTTAAAAATGATAAGAGACTATAAGAAAAATAATACAAAATTCTTCTATAATTAGACACAAAAAATCTGGATTTCTATTGCTATTCTTGAGGCCATAGTAAACGCACTTATACACATAATTTTTTTTCCACAATTCATATATATTAATATTCAAGTATATATACAAGAAGCAAGCATCTTTAAAGAAAATACCTCTTGGCATCTTTACGATCAAAATCCATACAGAAAAAAAATATTAAAATAGCAAAAAACAAAAAAGAATCTTTAATTTTAAATATTTTTAAATAGGTACGTACCATTTATGTATGGGTACAATATTTAAATATATATACAAACATAATTTCATTAAAATTATTTATTAAATACATAGATATTTTGTATTATGCACGCATTTTTACATTATCCACATTCTTTTGCTTTTCTTTTAGGTATCGGAAAATGTGCGTACAATAAAGATTTTTACAAGGAAGAAAAAAAAAACAAATTTCTCCAACTTTTACATATACTCTTACATATGAAAAGAATTCATCTTATTTTTCATCCTTAAAAATATCAGTTATCCTCAAACAGTTTTCCCTCTCATATCATTATAATATTGTGTGTAAAAATATTTATAAAATATTTTACATGTAAAAAAGAATATAGCCTTGTATAGAGAAACCCTTATATACTTATAGAGAATAATTTACAATTACATACAAAATGGTTAATGATGTACTAAATGTAAAAAAAAAAACCGAATTTATATATATATACATATATATATATATATATATATATAGCAATAAATTAGAAAAGTCGATAGAGAAAAGTGTGTTTATCAGGTATATAAGCAAATATATAAATAAAAATAAAATAAAAAAAAAATGCACGTAAAAAATTTTTAATATTTTTTTTTTTGTTTTAATAAAAAAAAAATTTGTTAATAAGAATTGGTACTTGTGCAAAATGATTTTTAATCCTTTAGAATTTTTTCTTTTGCACGTTGCACGTTAAGACAACATCCGTAGATTATAGATTTTTACAACCAGGATAACAGTGCACTGCGACTACGTATAAGGATCTATTGTACTCTCGCCCAACAATAGCCTTATAACGAAATATTTACAAAAGGATAATAATTTTTAAAAAATATTATTAAAATATATGAAAACAATAAATGGAAAAATTAATTTTAATTCGATTCAATTAAATTTTGTAGAAGAATTTTCATGGTATTCGAAATTAGTTCTAAATTCATAAGAATTTATGGAATTTAATAATAAATTTCGAACAATACTTTAAAATCATTGATTAATTTCTTACATAATGTAATTATTCTAGACATATATGTAAGAAATTATAGATTCTAATGTAGACCATTAGAATCAAGTAGTATGCGAAATATAAATAATTTAAGAAAAAATTTTTAACCATTTGAATTTAATGTATAACTTTACTAACAATATTTAAAAATAATTTTTAATTCAATAACATTAACTGATATATTTCTAATTTTTTTTTTGTTATAAACTATACAATTGATATATATATGTAGATCTTTATTAAATGGAAATATATTCATCTATACCTAACCATCAAATTAATAGCAAAAACAATATGAAAAATGCAATTTTTGAATAAAATTAAAATTTATTCATTTTATGCCAGTATTTATTCATAATTAATTTAAAAACGACATTATTAATTATATATTTCAAAAATAAATGAGTTTATAATGCAAGGTTCCAAAATTTATAATAAAATTTTGTATTCATAAATTGAAAGACTATAGATAGGAGCAAAATCTTCCTTAATACAGATATTTATTTCATTTGTATAACAATTAAAATGTAATTTTCGTATATTATCTATGTTCATACCCATATTTTATTCTAATATACTTATAAATTGAATAAATCTAAGTGTAGCATGTATTTTTCATATAAACTATAAAGCATACCCCAGAGAATGAGAATTATCGCTTAAGCATTATCTCATATATATATGTAATAGAAATTAACACTTGAGACAAGACAAATTCAATAAATATTGTAATATAAAATTCAAAATTTTCTATAATATTTTTTAAAAAATTTAAAATATAAATTTTCTGAAAGGCTATAAAAAAAATTAATAGCTTATATTTCAAAAAATATAAAACAAATTCAAGTCAAATTCAGTCAATATTTTTATAATAAAATACTCAAGATTTTGTTAAAGAAATTGAACAAAATTTCTGAAATTCAACAAACATAGAATTAAAAATTTCACTATTAAATTTCTAAATTCAAATAATTCTTTTAATTCTTTAAAATTATTAAAATTATGAATTATAATCAGAAAACCCTTACAGTTTGTTACTTAAATAATATTAGAATATTTAAAAAATTTCATATTTGAAGAACAACAAAAATTAATAGAGAAATTGAATTCAATTCAAAATAATTTTTATAATAAAGGATAATAAAAAAATTTCTTACATTATTTATTTTTTGATATATTTTTGTATTATTATTATTATTGTTTATGATATTTGCATATTTTTGCATTATATAATTGTAATACAATAATAATAAATCCTTTTCCTTCCTTTCTAATATATTAATAAATTTTTATGCAGCTTCATCACTCTATATATTATGTTCTATTTATATATATATATATATATTATGTACAATTAAAATATTTGAAATAAAATTGAATTGTTTTGTTTTTTTTTTTTTAGTAATTCTCGAAGAACAAACAAAATATATGAAATAATAAAAGGACACTCGAATATTCTATGATCATAAATTTTTTTTTTTTAAATATTTTATTTTTATATTTAAATTTTAATTTTAATTTTAATTTTAATTTTTATTTTTATTTTTATTTCAAATAAATTTAATATATCGTATACATTTTAAAAATATTTATTGGAAAAATATACAAATTTCATTTAAGGATATTTTAAGGATTAACTTTTAAGTTTATCTTTAATATTAATTACTTCTGATTATTTCTTTTTCATTTTCACACAAAAATTTTATTTTTATTATTATTGTTATTATTATATTTTAAATATATTATTTTTTTAATAAATTTCAAATTTAAAATTTTTTTTTTATTCTTTAATTTACACTTCAATTATTACATACAAAAAAAAAAGAAAAAAAAGAAAAATGTGCAAAACAAAATATACAAAATTAATGTCTGTATATATACGCATATAATGCATATATATATGTGTATATGAATAATTATATATTGAGATAATTGTATATAATGTAAAAAAAAAAAAAAATTATGTATCTATATACTTAAATAATATTATATGCATACATAAATGTAAATGTAAGTGTTTTTAATGTTGGTATATAAATAGAGATATAAAAAAAAAAAACAAAAAAGAAAATTTATGGATGGATGGTGGGATACAGGATGGCATAGCATGGATGAGAAACTGAAAGAGGGTGCTCGAAAGAAAGAGAAAGTCTTTAAATTTTTTTATTTTTATTTTTTTTTTTCTTGTTTTTGTTTTTATTTCCTATGATTATAACTATTCTTTTTTTTTTCCTTCTCTGTATAAATTTATTTTTATTTTTATTTATTTTTTTTTGGCCCTACAATTTTATAATTTAAATTTTCTCGGTCACAATAATATTAAAACGGTAATGCTATTAAAATTTGAAAAAATTTTATTAATATTAAAAATTTTTTTTTTTTGGGGTGCATAAAATTTTTCTTACTAAATTTTCTTATTGTGAATTTTAAATTTCAATTTTTTAAGTAAAAATTTACTCATTTTACTCATTTACTATTAAAATTTTTTTTTATTAAATTAATATTATTTATTAATGTTAAGGATTAAGATTAATTTTACAATTATTGATTCTTTAAATTTTTAATATTATTAACGATTCACATCTATATGTACACATGCTTTAAAAATTATTCTTTAAAAAATTGATTATTACCAAAATTCATTTAAATTATTACTGTTATTGTTATTATTGCTATTATCATTATTATTTTTAATTACTGCTATCAATGGTAATTAATTAATTTTTAAATTTCTTTAAAATTTTTCAATTTTTTTTATTTTTTGGGCAAATCAATATAGAATCGATTATGGAATCCGAATAAAATTATTTACAAATAGAATTTAAAAAAAAAAAAATATTTTTATATTACAAGAAATACACAAATTTTATAAAATAGAAATTTTATTTAAATAATTTTGAAATTTAATAAAAGAAATGAAATTTAATAAGGAGGCAACCAGAAAAAAAATTTTTTTTGTGAGAAAAAAACGCAACGCGGTACGAGATTTCTTAATTTTTTTTCTTTTTCAATTTTTTTTTGGTCGTCTCTTTTTTTGTAATTTTATTCTTTATTTTTTTTGCTTTTTTGATTTTTTGTACTTTTCCACAATGCTCCAATTTCAATTCAGAAAAATATCCTTGAATGATTGTAATTTTTATCATAAATGATTTTTTTTTTGCTGTTGATAAATCCTTTGACTCTTCAATTTTTATTTTTTGTATTGAATTGAGGTTTTCAATTTTACTTTATTTGTAAATTTATTCAATTTTTTTTCTTAAATTAATTCCCAGAGTATTGTTGAAAATTTAGTTTTTTATTTTTATTAAATTTTTGCTTTCATTACGTTTCATTCCGTTTTCTATTTTTTTTTTTTTCTTCTAAAAATTTTTTATCTTAATTTTTATGTCTTTTTTTCATAAATATCCTTTTCTAATCACTTAAAAATCATCCTTGATATTTTATTGTATTTATTTTCTCTCTTCACTTAAATTATTTGTGTATAATTATGGTTTTTCTTTTCAATTATACATTTACAATTTAAATGTGTATTTTAAATTAATTTGATATAATTTTTTTTTTTTCTTTTATTTTTCATTAATATTTATACTGCACAATTTAACGGATTGAATAATGCGCGTACACGATATTTAAGTAACGGAAGACGATAAGCAACTGAAAATTTTAATAAAAAATTTAAGAGGCTATCACATACAAAAAAAAAAAAAAAAAAATTTTCCAATAATTTCTCTTTCCCCTCAAATTATACCTACATAGTCTCTACAATTTTGTTATTAATTCTTGAATGTTGTGCATGTTAACTGAATTTATTACATATAATATTAAAGAGAAAAAGAAACAAAGAGAGAGAAAGAGAGAGAGAGACAGAGAAAATTAATACAAATTTTGTTGTTGTTGTGTATTAAAGAGAATTTTAAAATTTCAATTTTATCTCATTTTGATTCATGGCTATAACAAGCTATAACAACAAAAATAATAGTACTACACACATACAAAGAATAAAATTATTTAGAATTTACTTTCAAAAATTTAAAGAAAAATTTGTGTATACTGGAAAGTTGTGAATTATTTTTTGATACAAAATATATATTCACAGTATTTGTGCGAAATTACAGATAATTTTCCAAAATTCTGCAAAAATAAAACAAAAGAAATTGATAGTTTCTCTTTCCAAAACTAAAAATTAAAACATAATCTGTTATAAAACCAATACTAATAACCATATAACTTCTCTCACGCATACTAATGAAATTTTGGAATGTAAAAATACAAAAAAAAAAACATGAAAACCTATTCCGCACCCTCCGCCAAACATAAAATGGCACATAACTTTTGGAATATGTCACTGTTTCTATAACGGCCATTGTATTGTTGAGTCTCTCATTTATATAAACCAATATACATATTTGTAAAATACGAGTATTCGAGTAATTCTTATTGAATAAAAAAATAGGATATTACAGAAATTTTGAATACATAGAAATGTAAAAAAAAAAAAAGCGACGTGTTGCAAATATTTACACACACACATATTAAAAATCGGACAAAAAAAAAAAAAACAAATTTTTTTTACCTATAATAGAAATCTCAAAATAAAATTTCATCTAAAATGGAAACAAAGCCATTATTTTAAATAACAAAGGCAATGAAAGGATAAAAAAAAACACTCTTTCTTGGTTTTGCAGAGCAACATTAAAAACTTTTTTTTATCATTGTCCCTTAGCAGAAACAAATAAAAAATTAAAAGAAAAACAAAAACTGATAACATTTTTTAGACTCTTGTTGATTTCTCCCAAATCTCCCATTTAATTAAGCAAAACAAAAACTTTTACTTATATACCGTGTATACTTCTACCTCTTATATTATAAAGTGTGGATATATGTGAATGGATAAATGTCTAATCAAATTTATCAAGTTATAATCATAAAAAGCACTGCTTCTCTATATACATATATATATATGCAACTATATATATATATATATGTATAACTTGCGCATAATATCATAGCATATAAAGGAATAAAACTGTAAAAAGTATTCGCAAGGATTTACATTTACAAGTGGCAAATATACAATATTTCAAAAGATATAAACTACTTATTCAAAAACGAAACACACTAAAAAAGAGAAACAATCTTTAGAAAAGAAAATAAAAAATTTAATTGAAAATTTAGTTTCCGAATCAAAATTGAAATCTCATGAATATCACAAAATCCATGAGACTTTTACAGCCCATAATTTTAGAAATATTTTAAAATTAAAAGTATTTATTTGATTTGTTCTATAAAAATTATTGAATTATTGAATAACTAGAATTATTTCGAAAATATACTAGAATATTGAAGCTAGAAAAAATTTTCAAAATTTAAAATTAAAAATTTTCATGTTATAAAGAATTTTATAATTCAATACACTTATTTTATGTAAATTTTCTAATAAAATATATTAAAATTAAAATATATAACACTTACCATTTAAAATTCATACAGAATATATGGAAATTTTCATATAGATTAATGCAAATTATTGTCACTTACCTAAGAAAGAAAAAGAATTAATTAATAAATTTAATAATTTTCGTATAATAGTGAAAAAGCTTAAATTAAAAAATAATTATGAAAACAATTTATTCTGAAATTTTATAAAACTCAGTATACTTTACCTTCGAATTTATTCAATTGCTCTTAAATTGAACATAGTTATATTTTAGCTATTTAAATACTTCTTATATAGCCGTATAATTTATATGTGACGATTATAACATATTGTTGAAATATTTGTATAACAATAAGATGTTATAATTATAATTGATTTATAATATTTTCCATAATTGCAATTTATAATATTTTCCATAATCAATATAATATTTGCTGTTCAATAGTATGTACATACAAGGACAAATATGTATCCGTGTTCATATAATTGAGTCTTAATGAATTTCATAAATTAGTAAATTATATATGACTTGCTTAATAATTGACCAGTTTATTAAAATTTTTCATATATCAGTAAAATATTTCAAATATTATTAAATTAATATAAATTAAACCCCCCCCCCCCCCCGAGAAGTATGCAATTTTTTTCCAAATTATTTTACTTTCAAAATTATTTATCGGAAACTATTCAATTCACAAAACTACTTTAATTTTTTAAGTTTTCTACTCTTTTTTGTTATTAATACATTAACAAAATTTACATTGTCAAGTTTAAAGAAAGAAAAAAAGATAGAAAATAAAAAGAACTTTGACAATAATACATTTACAATATACATGCAAATAATATATATATATATATATATATATAACTATATAAGTATATATACAAATGCATATATAATGTTAAGTAGAATTGCCAAGAAGAGCAGCACAATTAAAAAATATGTGAGTCTAAAAATAGCGTC